AGTAATGTAATCATAACTTCTCTTTATTATTTAAAATCCCATGAATATTTGAGATCATGACTTTCAAAATACAATTACCACGTACAAATAGCTAAAATCATTATTTACATGAATTTTTTATTCTTATCTATATAAAAAGAGGCAGTACTCTTTATTCACAATACAAGACACAGGATTTGTTAGATTTGTGGTCTTAAGCCTAAACTTCCGACAAAGATTAGCGTTTTCTGACATCTTTACCTTTATATGTCAATTCTAAATTTCTAATACCCGGGTATCTTGCATTTCTAAACTGTAAGCATGACTATTTCAAATCAAAAAAAAGTTTTTCCTGTCCTAGTTCTTATTATTGTAACAATGAAAATTCACTGATAATATCATATATATAATATGATATATATACATCTTATATCGATAGTACATCAATTTGAAATTCACCAGTTGGTTGAACATTGGTTCAAATTCATTTTTTTTTCGATATATGTGCATTAATTGTCTTGTTAAAAAAGTTTGCTTGAAAATAAATGCACTTCAATTAACATTATTCATCATCAAATAATGTTTGTATTGATGTGCCCTCATTTCGCTAGATGTATCTTTCAAATACGTGCGTGATCACGAGTGCAAGAAGTCCGTATCAAAGAGTGCAAGTGTTGTTATGTGTACTCTTGTCTATACAATGAGAAAACATAAACGATACTACAGGAATACCTTCAGGCAAATGTTTACCTTATTACCTCGAATATTTTCTCTGTTTGAAAAAAATTCTTTGATTTAGTTTGTAGATAAATGGAAAGGTTTCAACCAAACCCCATGTGTACATAAAAATCGTGAAGGTGGTAACTGATAAATTTCATGACCCATTTCAACGAAAACCTCTTAAATTCGAACATTATGATACAATAGCTTTATACACAAAAAGAGTCAAAAACTTTCAGTCATCTGATCTTTTAATACGTAGGAAATGATATTTGGAGCTTTGCAAATTCAAAAATCAATGTAACGTTTTCCCCCTACGGTCAATATTCATAGTTATGCCCTTTAATAATGACACTTCACGACTTTTTATAGCACAGATATACCCTTTTATGATGAGTTTATTTGATTTATTTCGCACAAGCATTAATTTGGAGAAATCATGAACATTTTTACATGTTTCTTAATTTTACCAACATATTCTTTCCAAGTTACGGATTTTAACTTTCCATATTCCTCCAAAGTGACGATGGAACAAAATTCAGACATTTTCGCTGAATTTGAATTAACGCGACCGGGGAGTTTTTTAATACAATGTGCTTCTGAGTGCTCAAAAGTAGCAATCTGTTACGGTGTGGAACTTTGTGACACTTCCCCCAAACGATGTCGACTTTGGGGTGCAGAATTCACAAACAGTGGGGGAGATGTATCCTTCAACCAGTGCTCGCGTTATACTAAGGTATGCCACTAGAGAAGCAAATGGTCTCACCTCCTTTTTCTATTTTTCCCTAGTTTTAATTTCTGAAAATTATGGAACATATGCTTTGAAAATTATATACAAGAAGTGCAGCTTCATATGTTTCATATCTTAGCAAATAATGTTTATTTTCCAACAATTTAACTGTATCTTGTCTTTATTCAAAAAGGAATAAAAGCAATTGTTCGTTGGAATGATTATTCAGTTTAAAATCATTTGCATATTAAATATGTTTTGATCCTGGCTTATATTTAGGATATATATTTTTCTTTTCATTACATGCCTGCACTCGTAGGAAATAGGGAACATAAATGGTGAGTAATGGAGTGTACTCTTCGAAGATTTTGGTGGACTAATTATATGCATACAAATTAATTATATCATCCAATCCAACCTGATTTTTGTATATGCATAAAAATCTTATGATACTCTCTTGCATTAACATATAATCAAACGCTATTAATAAAAAGATGTATTATTAAAAACCAGAACAAATAATGATTTCATAAGATTATTATAACATGTGTAGGATAAAAATGGTTAGAAAGTTTGTGCGAGTAGGCATGTAGAAGAAAAAAATAGGTTCAGCTGTAAAAAGTAGTCAAGAAACAAAACTGCAATTGAGAATCAAAATCATGTACTTAATACTGTAATATATATTGGTGTCATTTAATGAAACTAGAAACAGAAATTGGAATTAATACATTGTTATCTAACTTTTTCGTTTAGTATCCTAAAACTCTATATAAAGTGCATGCTTTTGAATCTAGTAACCTAAACCTGAGATCAAAGTGAGCCCTCCTTCTCAAATATTTTGAGCCGTTTGCTTTTCTCTTTGCATTTTTAACGACCAAAGTTCAAATTATGTCCTAACTAGAACTTATATTATATAAGTGGTTTACATTGGTTTCAACTCCAATATTTTAAAATCAAAAATTTTCAGGGGGAAAATATTGGTTTATCGACATGTGATTTCGTTGTTAGAAGAGTTGAGTGATTCTGATTGGTACTGAAAGATTTCTTGGGGAAAAATATGTCGATCCTTAAAAAAATGATGAGTATGATTTTTTTACATTTAGAGGTAGACATGACTTAATTGGTCTCTTCATACTTAAAATCCAATAAATCAAACTCCTACGAAAATAAGTGATATATTTGGGATTGAAGGTAAAGTAAGTCACTCCATATTAGTGAAACATTCTCGAGAGGAACATTAACAAAAAGCAATTGAAACTAACAAAAACAGGATAATGTATATTAAATTTAAGTTAAATACATGTACTAGAATTTTAAATAATTTTTTTGTGCATGAGCCAAGTTAATCATGCATCAAATGACATTTTTTTCTATACCACTGATAGGATGCTCTGATTCCTGCGATTGCGATTCAACCGGTCTACAATCTCTTACTCTTGATGGAAAGTCGATGGAAGTTAAGAAATGTTTCCGTGGAAACCATATGTGGACTGTAAGTACTTTTTGCTGCTATTAGTATCCCTAAAAATGAATGGGAAAACAGTTTGGTACTAAATTTAAGATTTACTCACAAAAAATACTATTCTAAGAAGTGATGACTTTACATCCATTACTGGTATTTTAATGATATAAATACTTTTATTATATGATTGAATAATTTCCATCTCTCTGATTGGCTGAGATCCAACTATGTTAGAAAAATACTACGTTGTATTGACCTGCACGTAACGTTCCGGGTTAATACAAGGATTTATTTCCACTACATTGATCTGAAAATAGATCGGGAAATTCCAAATTGATACAAATTGTTTTGGAAAGCTATTTAAACGACTATGACTTTTTTTCATATGAACAAAACATAATCAAATAATATATTTTCGGAACTTAGTGTGGTATAAGGGGATGCAGGAAACCCCTCCAATACTTTTACTGAACAACAATATTTTACTTTTTGGCAGTCAGTTTTCCCATATAACTCCTTCCTTTCAAAATTTATCCTATAAAATAGACTGACATTATATTTCTTTTCATAGCAACTAAAATTGATAAAAAAAAACCCCTTCAGATTGATACGACTAGTAAGGTTTAATTACATTCTAATTCTGCTTTTTTTTGTGCATGAGCTTAATCATGCATTTGACATTTTTTTCTATACCACTGATAGGATGCTCTGATTAAATGCATACGAGTCAACCGGCTGTATCATTTTATCAGTTGATGGAAAGTAATAAAACAATTATTGCTGTTTTTCGGTCAATAAACCATATGTGGACTGTAAGTACTTTTTGCTGCTATGAGTATCCCTAAAAATGAATGGGAAAACAGTTTGGTACTAAATTTAAGATTTACTCACAAAAAATACTATTCTAAGAAGTGATGACATTACATCCATTAATGGTATTTTTAATGAAATTATAAAAACTTGTATCGTTAACGAACTTCCATAATGTCGAAAAAATGCAATCTCTGGCTTTTATAGCTAGAATGCTTCTTACAGGTTTTAGGTATTTTATCAAAATCTTCCATGGTACTTGAGTAAGATTACAAAACCCCCCTGATTTTTCCCGTGTGATTACTAATGCCGTTTACTAGTTTTAATTGAATTATTAGAACACGACAATTAATTGACGTGTTCTCACTATATGATTTTCTATTTCAATAACTAGGCCTAACAATGATTTTAAAAAAGCTACACGATACGAAATTGCGCTCATCAAGCGATATTTAACTACATGTACATGTTGAAATAGCACCACGTAAATATATTGAAAAAAATATTCATACATATTCACACGGCGGGTGTGAGAGGTGGGCAAAGGATGTTCACTCCTCCATGGCACCTGGAGGTCCGTGTTTGCTATGCTCCTATTTGTCATTGTTTAATGGACTTTTGAGCTTAAATACTTTTCGTTATCTCTATATTTTTCATTCATGAAATCTTAATTTATAACATTTCCTTCACTTTTTAGGTTATACAAAGGAGGTTTAACGGCTCTGTGTCGTTTAATCGGGATTGGATGACTTACAAAAATGGATTCGGTTCATTAGATTCTGAATTTTGGCTCGGTAAGATTAATTGAAATTAAATTACTAGTATTAAAATTGTTTTAAAAAGAAGACAAAATAACACATTTATTTTATATTGTTTACAGGCTTTCAATTGTAGATTTATTTAAACTTACAATTCTTTAATCAACTGACTAGTTGAGTAAACATATACTATTTAATGAAGTTATCTGTATTCAAATATAAATTCAAATAGGTAGGAAAATTAAAGTTTCAAGTGGCATGACCTTTGAGGGGACATGGACACAGTTTCAGCTAAAAATTTTCAAATTTATTTTTCCATTTTTATGTTTACCATTACTTAACTAAGGTATTTTTAATATTAAAAATTTGAATTTCAATTGTCGAGATATAAGACAAATTTAGATCTCCAAACCTTTCTTATGTAAATAAGGCTTGTGCCATGTTTAGTTTAAACTGTGCCCATGTCCTTTTAAGGTACGAACAAATATTCATAAAAATGATATGCTCTACTTTAAACAGGAAATGAAAACATCCATCTGTTAACAAAGAATGGTCTAACTTATCTGCGGATCGATCTAATGAAAAATAACGGAGAATGGAAGTATGCGGAATTTAGTAGTTTTTCCTTGGACACCGAGGGAAACATGTATAGACTTTCTGTTTTCGGATACACAGGGGACGCAGGTAGATCATCATAGAAGTCTGAAAAATATCCAGGTTCTTTAAAAATCCCCGTTGACTCCTATATATTCCCCTATTATACATTTATTTCATTATATCAATTTACTCTATCAAGTATGTGCGATATGTTGAATATAAAGAAAACTGAATAAAGTAGATAAAATGGAAAAATATAGTTTAATAGAATTCATATTATCGTGGGATTGTGCAGACTTGGGCAGAATTAATTTTTAATGTTTGCCAGATGAAAAGAATTACGAATTAAAACAATTCCCCCCGAGGTTAAATTTTAGATAAGTATGAGTGGGTATAGGGTTGTGAAACAAACACACATGCATCTGAATTCTACTTTGTGCACAATGTAAAGCAGTGATGATGAAAAATTTTCACATTATTGAACATGATGCAGAAAGAACGAAAGAGTTTGTCTGCACATGTCATCTTCTTATATTACATTTGTGTGCAAATTCAATTTTTTTAAATGCATATATATGAAAAATTATTTACTCACTCACTGCAAAAGTAGTTCATGTGAAGGGGTTAAATTAGTTCATACTAGGGAATCAATTTACTTATGTTTTACGTTTTCTTTCTTGAAAATGATGGGTATAGGTATAAATTTTGACGTGGCTTCCTTTGAGGAATATTTGTTTTAATTTTCTCCAGGGGATATGATGGGATTCCACCATGGTATGAGCTTCAGCACCCCTGAAGTTGACAACGACGCAGCATCTAATTTTGACTGTGCCTCGTACCTACAGTCCGGCTGGTGGTATAGAGATTGCAACAGGTGCGACCTCAATGGAAAGTACGGATACGGAGTTCACTGGAGCACCTTAACCGGTAGCACATCCTCCTTAAAAGAGACCAGAATGATGATTCGGGAACCATAAAGAATAGTAGGAGGGATTAAACTGGAAACAATAAATTGCTGATAATAGTGAAAATTTGTAAAATATGATTTTATTGACCTTAAACGATCGTTGCAGATTGAGAGATGAATATGTGTCGGTGTTTTGAAGCAATGACTTTCCTTTTCAGAAATTCCCCCAGGGAAATTCACTATTTACATTCCCTCGATAAATTGCAATGAAAATAAATCTTCCCAACGCAGGAGAAAAACAATATTGCAGAAATTTCCCCAAGAAACGATAACTATAGGTAGCATTACCCCCCCCCCCCCTCTTTTATAGCACAACTCCCTCTGTCATGTGTATTGAAATATAGTAGATCTATGTTCCCCAAATTATGAATTATGTAAGCAGATCATGATTTTTGTCATGGGATCCTTATTTCTCGATGGTACCTGATCCCATCTCTTATGTTTTGGAGGACTGTGTTTGCTCGTATATCGTAGTATGGACTTTTGAGCATGAATACTGTGCGTTATCTCCATATATTTCATTGTTCTGTTTTAATTGGTTTATACTACACCTGTTAATGTTGTGGTTAAAATTTAAAATTATCATTAGATGTAAGTATTCGATCATGTATTTATGATCTCTTTGTACTTATTATTTGCAATATGGTTATTCAATATTTACAATTTATAGTGACTACTGTGAATTCAGTCACAATTATAAATGCTGGACATGTCATCATTTGAAACGTAAATACTGGATTAAACCTTAAATTCTATGATGGCCGCCATGTGTTTTGATTCAATTGTGGATTTGAGACAACATCTAAGTCCTCTTTCCCTGCCACTTCTTTCGCATATTATTGTTCTAAAAATGAAGCACATATTGATCTGCTTTTTTCTTATACTTTTGCTTCAGATATTTACGATCACCCCCCAGTTTCTCCGAATGGTTCATCAAATTTTTACAATTAAACATGCATTAGCAGCCATCGCTAAAGAAATATACAGAAAGTATAAGAGCTAAGCTGGGTAAACCACCCGATCGTTGTTAGAGAAAAAGATTCATCATATAATAGCTGAACATCGGACTCCTACTGATTTACAACTATATGCAATTAAAATCCTGCTGATTCCTATAAACCGTTTATTAAATGATTGAATCATCCTCATATATGTTTTGTTTATGAATTTATTCCTAATGCTTCAAAGGTCGTTCATCTTCACCAACCAGATTAAGCTTCATGAGGAACCCAGATGATAAGACTGAAGGTAGCAACGGTGGTTAATTCTCCGTAACGGGGTAATTGAATTCATACTATAAAGAGGGAGGTGTGTGCCATAAAAGTATCAAATATAATTATTGCGAAATTTCAAATAACCATCCTCGATATTCATTAAATCTTTACTTCACATGTTCGTCTCTGTTTCGTCTAGATTACAGCTATTGATTATGTCATCTTCAAATGACACATACAAAGGCTTCAAATTGAGTTTCCAAGTCATCAAAAGTATCAATTAGATAAAACTGTGCTCCTGTTAAACAAATTATGCAACCTGAAGTTTATGTACGTATATACGTGGATAACCCTCTCTACAAAAAGAAGTAAAAACCTAAAAAAAAAATATTCTACTAAAAAGGTCTTCAATTTTTGTGATAATTTTGACATGCATTTGAAAATAATCATCGATGCTACAGTTATGTATAATACAAAAAGTTACACTTTAATGAGTCTAGTCTGAGAATTTTCAATCAAAGGGAGAAAAACAATTTTGGAGGAAAACATTCAGTCTGAAAATGAAGAAATTCAAAGACATGTAATAACACTTAAATGGATATGGACACAGTTTCAACAGATTTTAAAAAAAAAAACAATATGTATAATATCGTCACTTGAGTTTGAGAGAGTGTTGTCATCGGCATAGTTGTAGAAATCACAATCTGACACAAAATGAAAAATATCATTGATAAAAATATCGAAAATAACAGGACCAAGTATTGAACCCTGTGGAACACCTTTGTACAATTCTAAAAAATCACTACAAACTTCCCCCAGTTTTACACACTGTTTTCGATTGCTTAAATAGCTTGAGATAAGACTAGTAGCTCCATTTGTAAAACCATATGCATTAAGTTTTGCTAAAAGTAGATCATGTGGAATACAATACAACGTACCTACACAGGTTACCTGTACCTATAGTTTTTTACGCAGTGCCGCAGTGATACGGTTTTATCAATTTGCCCCATTATATATATTAATTCGGAGAAAATAAGGAAAATAAAATTGTGAGTATGTATTATTTAAAAGAATGTCGAGAGGATTCTTTTTAATAATAAATGTTTTAAACCATATTAATTATATAGGCTCAGCCAACCCATTACACATGAACACAGTAAGTTTTTTTTCAGTTTCATTAAAAATATTTCTCTTGCCACCATTTACTAAAACAAGTTTGTAATCATTCGTTCATGCGATTAAAATCACTAAGAATGGTCAGGGTGGTTGTGCATTTGCAGAAAATTCAAGAAAATTTGAAATCTTTCAAGAACAACATGGTAAAATAATCATTTATTTGTAGAGCTGATAGGATTCTTATGATTGCTGACAATGTAATATTCTTAAAAATATTAGTAAAATATATCACAACACTTTTCTTTATAATACCTCTGTGAATTTGAGTATTATCATTTTTTAAATACTAAACTATTAAAATGCATGTATAAAACATTGTTTATTCAAGTAAGGAATAGCCCTAGCCCCTAGACCTTTACAAGCCAATCACTTGGCTAAGTAACAGTCTACCAAAACAAAAGCAACAACAATTGGTTATTTTTCAAAGGAAATTATAATTTCTTGATAAAATTTCATCACTCAAAACCATTAAGTTTTTTTCTACTTCACTTGTGATTTCTTTTTTAAGAGCAATATTCCAATATGTTATATTACATGTACCGAGCCTTCAACTGTTCAATATTTGGTCTTCAGTTCAGGAGGTCTGTATCAAAGAGTGCAAATATTATGAATGCCCCATTATCCAATATTTAAAACAAGTGTCACAGGAATATCCCCGGGGCAATCGTTACCTTAGTGCCATGGATATTCCTGACTATGCACATTGGTAATGTGGTTTATAGGAAAGATACAAAGAATCCCATACTATGATTTAAAAAAATTGTATATAAGTTGTCTCTCCGAGAAATTTCGTGATATTTTGACCTTTCAATTAATGTATTACACTTAATTTCCTACACAAGTGGAGTTAAAAGTTTTGTTTTCGTCTGATCTTCATAATAATTTTTTTTTTCGAATGATGTCTAAAATTCAAAAATCACTTAAAATATTTTCATCCTTCTGTCAATAAATGCAGGTAGTGTACTTTTTAATGTTGATGTTTGTTTGATGAATGTATCATACATACAGTATATTATTTCGGAGAAAAATGGTTATTTTGATATTTTTCTTTGTTTTTTTTTTCAATGTACTCTTTTGAATTCATAAAATATCCTTTACGTATTCCATAGAAGTGGAGATGACCATTTTTTCTGAATTGGAATGTCACCGCTGGGTAGTCTGTTAGTACAGTGTACCACTATATGTGCTCAGTTGAAGGGATGTGTTTCGGTGTGGAACTTTATCACACACCTCCCATGATTGTCGATTGTTCGGAGTGAGGTTTAGAAATCATGAACTCATCATGACCCGGTACCGACTACCATAAGTGTTCACGTAAAATAAAGGTATATCTACTTCTGTAGAATATTCACATTCACACTTTCCACCAAATTTACTGTTTTCTTTCATTAAATAAGATTTAAAAAAAATGGTTTGAAATTTGTACAGGAAATGCAAATTTCACAATTACTAGTATACTTTTTACCTACTACAATGCTATCGATATTCTTTAGACAATTAAGGTCTTTCCACCCTCACAATTTCAATGGTTCGAAGTACAAAGACTGCTTTTATTTTCCTTTAATAAAGTTTAAATTTACCAATTATAGCAATAAAGTCATCATTTCGTAAGTTCTATGGTTGATTCAATGACCTTGTCAGCCATTAAATACAATTTATCATTGAGTCAAATGATAACTTAAGTTTTTCATACTAATTGTTAGTCTATTATTTATACACTGAATTGACGACGGATATTTCCGTTAGTTTCTGATCGTGTCAAGGAGCACATGGCGGTTGTGACCGGTCAGCAGGGGATGCTCACTCCTCCAGGGCACCTGATCCAACCTCTGATGTTTTGGGGGTCCGTGTTTGCTCTGCTCCTATTTTGTTTTGTTTTGTGGATTTTTGAATACAGTTCGTTATCTCCATAATTATGTTTCATTAGAATGCCATATTTCTTAAGATGGGAGATATAAATAAAGAAAAAAAAATCAGAATGGGTTAAGGATTTCAATTGTGTCCACTCACATGGCTAACCTTATGAAAATGGGAAGATTAATATTTATTTCTCTTATATAAACTGTAGAAATTTTGATGTTGCGTCACTTGGTCTTACCATTACTTTGGAAATCATTGATGATTATTTAAAGTGTGCAAACTCTTTGATGTATACCATAATAGATTAATTTATGGCGTTAGTTCACATCTTTTTAATTATCCCTCATACATATAAACATTGGAGAAAAATCAAGAAAAGTAGCTCTCTCCTCCTCGATAATTTGGTAATTAACAATATCCAATTATGGTTATTCTATATGAAGCATCATATGGCACGCTAAGCTAATAAAATAATAATTGTTCCCTCGCTTTTAATTCAGGTTTCTACAGGGTACTAGTATATGTTTTAGTTCAAAATTATGGATTGCTTAATTTACTAGTGGTGCAATTGTTATGAACTTTAATAATAAAAACAAAAATCAAAAAAAAAAAAAAAATCAGTCTAAAGAATTTCTTGAATTCACCACATGAAAACAAGAAAACCTTTAAAGGAATATTCATTTTATTGATAGAAGGATTTTGAACTAAATGCAAAATTCTCAGGACTAATGTATCCTATTCTTTTCAAGAGAAAAACTTGTAAGTTGTATGAACTTGTTTCTGATCCTTTTGTGTTAAACAATAAAATATATATGTTCAAATCAAATCATTTTTTTCTTCTTTACATCTTCTGCGGAATTATTATTCATAAATTCAAAAGTCCCCGTCTGCGTTCATGTTCCTTATCTATCAGCCAGGATCCTGAGTAACATTACTATATAGTATATACATAATCATAATTTCGCGAAATAATGCAAAAAATTCACTAATTTTCACTCAAACCGGTGAAAGGCTTCAATTTGGACCTTTACTCGGCACTAAGGGGCACTGGACATGGAACAG